TTTCTTTCAGATTCAAGAATTTGGCTTCTCATTTTCGAAGACTGTGAGTTTGTAGTTTGCTTCTTTCAAAAGCGTTTTTTTCTTCACCTTTATGGCATAAAGATACTGAATTTGTTTTTCTTCAGATTTCCAAATTTAGATGTGAATATTGATGAAGAGCTTATCAAATACAAGGTAATAAGAGATAAATTGTGACTGTTACCTTGCGTGTATGTATGCTATCATATCGAAATTACTTCTTAATGTAGGGATTTGCTGAGAAAATTCGCCCCCTTGTCAAGGATACGGTAGTTTACATGCATGAAGCACTTCAGAACCCAAAGCTTAACATTGTTGTGGAAGGTGCCAATGCTCTAATGTTGGACATAGACTTCGGTGAGAAACTGAACATGAAATTTTAAAAGTAATAAATTGCATTGGTAAGTGGGCCCATTTAAAAATCACCTTGTAAAATGGCTTTTTTGTTTCTTACAGGTACCTATCCATTTGTGACATCATCCAGTTGCAGTATAGGAGCAGTATGTACGGGTCTTGGGATACCTCCTCAAGCTATCGGTGAAATATATGGCGTAACTAAAGCCTACACTACAAGAGTTGGCATTGGTGCCTTTCCTACGGAGTTAAAAGATGTAAGGCTTTTTAGTGATATCTAACCTATTATTATTTTTTAACCTGTAGAATTTTCTTTGTGTTGGCTTAGGAGTTAGGAGATAGACTTCAAAAAGTTGGACATGAATACGGAGTAACGACAGGAAGACCTAGACGTTGTGGCTGGCTGGATCTGATTATGCTCAAATATTCTTACATGATCAATGGCTTTACATCGTAAGCATATGTTGTTATTGCATACAAAAATTCTTATGAACCCGTTTAGTCTTAATACATAACGAAACCTAAACTCGAAAATACGTGCTGAACTGATGAATGCATGAAAGCCACGAATACGTCCTTCATTTATGGGTTCCATTCGCCCCATGTAAGGGACTCCGGACTTATGGTGGATTCTGGATTCCAAGCGCTGGATTCCGGATTCCGAGACTCTGGATTACGGATTCCAAGGGTCTGGATTCTGGATTCCAAAACTTTTATATTGTGGATTCCGGATTCCATATCGTTAATTTGCATCTGATGACAGATATTCTTGGTGGAGATATTACACAGTGGGRGAGGGGCTACATCGGTTCAGTCTAGGTCGAGGCGATAGCATTTGAGTGTATACTTTGAATTTCAAAGTAGCGGATTCCGGATTCCAAAAGGGTGGATTCCGGATTCCATTATAAACTGGATTCCGGATTCCAAGGCCTAAAATTTTGTGGATTCCGGATTCCGGATTCCGGATTCCGGATTCCCTTTCATGGGGTGATTCAATGGACAACAAAAAAATTAAAAAGTTATCTTTTGTGTTTTAGGATTGCTATTGCGAAGCTCGATGTTCTTGATGACTTTGATGAGGTGAAACTTGGTGTGGCATATCTACACAATGGCAGAAAGCTCACTTCCTATCCAGGTGATCATAGTATACCGTTAAACTTTGTAACTCGTCTTGCAACAGTAGTAAAATACATGACATAGTCAAGGTCATAAGCAACAACTTAGATTAAAAAGCTTAAAACTACAGAAAATGTAAGACCATGATACGTTGGGGGATTTTTGGAATGCAAATTTCTGAATATTTTGACAGCTTTGACCTTTTACACCAAAATTTTTAAAAAATGTGTCTTTCTCATAACATTTTTGATAAAGAGGATAAGCGCATGAACTTAGGCCTAAAAAAAGGTTTTGTTTGGTGGAGTTCATGGATAGGTTTGGTTTTCCCTCACTCGAAACAAACAAACAGCAAAAACAAAAAACAAAAAAACATAAAGGTCTTCATGACCCTCCTTTGTAGAAATGGAGTTGTTGTTTGGTGGGTTTTTTAAAATTTTGCTACTATTTTCGTTAAAATGTTTAGCAACTCAAGAAGTACTACATGAAGTTAAAGTCGAATACCTAACATTACCAGGATGGAAAACTAGCATCAAGCACTGCCGTACAATGGACCAACTGCCAAAAAATGCACAAAACTATGTTAGAAAAATTGAGGAAGTCGTTGACGTGCCAGGTAAAATAGTTTTGTCCAGTTATTTTTATTTTTTAGATTTATATTCTTTATTGCAGTTAATATCACCTCGTGGGCTGCAGACAGTTGTCTCCAATTTTTTCAAAATTGTATTATCAGCCGCGTTGCTTGTCAGGCTTGTTTGGCGACTGAATTGATTTCTTGATTGTGGATGGTCATTAATCAATATTTTTTTCTTTTCAGTTCGTTGGGTTGGTGTTGGACAATCTCGCGATGCAATGGTTAATGTATTCTGAAAAGGATGCAACATGTCATGGATGACAAACATGTAACTTGGTTTAATATTTTAATTTCTTACTATTTATTCTCACCGCTATGTCGGTAAGATGCTTTATTGTGCCCTTTTCCTTTATATGTCTCTTGAGTATATTGGAGTATATTAAATAATTCTCTCGTTAAGCACTAAAAACGGAACTGAATTCAGCATGTGATTATTTTGGGTTTTCAATAGACCTGATTTATTTACTTTTCCTGAGCCGAATGTCCCTTCCTCCTGTTCCTAACCATCTTGACCAACCAGAATCTATAAAAATTAGATTTTTGCTATAATCTTCTTGGGGTGTAGAAATGCGTTGCATAATGCTGGATTCTGCTATTGATAACTGTGATGCACTAATTACTTCAATTTATGCAAAAAAGGAGCTTGGATGAATTACTTGGATTGCAGACTGTACGCATATTATTTCATAAAATGAATTCCTGGCTTTCGACTCTTGAAAAGTAAAAAGGTCGGCTTTAAAAAGGACTTGAACTGCAAGTTAACAACCTTCAAAAAATAAGATCATGCTATAGTGCATTATGCGTTTTTACGTGTTTTTTCATTGAATCTATACCATTGTTGATGTAGGTGGAGTCATTATATGCAATTGTGATATATTGTGTTGACTCACGTTGCATTTTGTGTTAATTTGTACTTATTTTTTATTCGGCTTTTTTTTCCTTGTCAAATGCTCATTGACTTTTGTCTGTAACGAGTGTCATATGATCAATTAACACTTATTGACTGGGACATAGGGAAAACAAAACACTTTGCTTTCCCGAGGTTCAAGTTAATGAATGTTTTGTTATATACCAAGTGTCAAAGAAAAAAGAAACTTAGAAAAACGTACATTTCTGGAAACATCACTTCCGGTATTGCTATTACCGGTCAACAACGTGCTGTTGCCCGCTGACCACCGCCGGGGAAACATCGAAACTTGTTCACGTTCACGTGATACCCTCTCGCCCAATCAGAGTACGAGAAAAATGGACTTTGACAGTTGGTTTATAACAAAAAGACCTATTTCATTTGCTCCGCTCGAAAAATTGTTTTCTAAAGGAAATGTCAATTTAATGTTTAACTTTTTTCTAACTTAACTACCTTGCAAGTGCCTGAGTGATTCGGCCGTGAAAGAATAGGTATTTCATTGTTTTCTTTTGTTTTACTTGGCCTGTTAGTATATTATACAACTTTAGTTCACGGGCCAATAAAATCACAGCAGGCTTTCAGCCTCGTCATAATCGGAATCGCAAGTGTGTTTTTAATCTCGTGCAAGCTTAAAAGACGGAGGGATTGGGTGGGAGGTCTGTCACGTGGCTAAACCTGGTTTATACAAGGAAACAAAACCAGAAATACTTCCAATTGTGATTCTGTCTTTACGTCTCACATGCGCACGCACTTTCGCTTCCGATAACCCTTAAACAATTACTGTTACATGAAATGTGTTGAAAAAGAAATAAACTGTGAATTTCTCATAACGATATTAAGAAACTGCGTTATTTAATTCAGTGTTGCCTGTTCACATACACTTATCAAAAAGATAAAATAAAATATGCTTTTACATTTAAAGATATTTTAAATCATGATAGTAGGTAAGAAATCGTTGGGAGGTTTTCTCTACTCAACAGTGATATAGGGAAGGCGGAGTGGGGTGCGAGGGGGTCTTTAGTTTAGACAAAAAAAAAAAAAAATCCAGAATTTGTTTTTCAGAAGACTTTAGGGACTGTTCATTAATTATGCCTTGTGACCTTTTAGACATACCTTAATTATTTGTTTCAACTCCCCCTTTAAGTCAGCAAATGCTATTAAAGCCCCCCCTTCTTTGTGTGATTTTTTTTCAAAGGCCCCCCTACTTTTCCTACAGCCCCCTTCCTCAAAGGCATAATTAATGAACGGTTCCTTATAGCAAATAAAGACTGAACAAAGTAAAAGCAACAACTACGGCAAGTTTTGAGGCAATTTGTTGAGTGAAACATTTTATTTTCATGACTTTATCATAACTCCCATACATTCCCTTATAAACTATACACGGGAACCTTGTTTGGGCTACCTGTGGTTTTTCCAATTATATTTTCACCATTCACTTCAATCTAAATATAGCGATCCCTGTGATCCAAACACCTGTACTCTTTCTAGTGTTCTCATTTTCGCTTGAACGTTTTAGTTTTCTTGTGGTTTCTACGTCTGCTAATGCAAAACATGAAGCCATTTTGGTTTGCAAAAAAAAGGTACAGTTTGCAGGCGTTGCTAGGCAACTGAACTACCAAATTGGAAATTGTTGGGAATTTCCTTGAATTCCCAATTCGAACACCAACGTTGGGATTTATTGTTGGGAATTTCCTTCTAATACCCAATAGAAAAACAAAACTCTCAACAAACTAACATTCATTGGGAATCAGTGCCATGTTCCCAATTGCGTTCTCTCTGGGAATTGGATGGGAATTCGTTGTGAATTCAAGGAAATTCCCAACAAATTCCCAATTTGGGAATCCGGTTTTACGGAATTACGGAAAAAAACCCTCCTTCATTAGCTAACCAGCATAGAGTAATTTTGCCCTGTATCTGATAATAACATCATAAGTAATACCATGACTCTCAAGGGATATTAGGGATTAAATGTACCCGAAGCACAGGCGAAAAATTAAATGCCTTTCAAAACTAGCTGAAACTGCATACAGGAGTTCAAAATCAACAAATTGACACAACAGGTAAGTCGACAAACTTTTATTCACGTTTTTCCAAATAAAATACGGCATATTCTAAATCCCCATTACATTCTCTTATAAGTGTAGTGAGCTTGGGTTGCCTGTGCCCGAAGCCGAGGGAAGTTTAGTGGAAGTCCTGAGGCCGAAGGCCGACACGTGTGTTGCGACAAAAAATGCGTTTCATATTTTCATGTTTGTGAAACTTTTCTTGTACCATAACAAGCGCATGCGCAGATTGCTCGAGCTACTCTAACACAAATTCAAATTCCTGTGTCCCACATGTGTTAGCACCTGTAAAAAGGATAGAAAGCCATTATGTATGCACTTGTTTTTAGACTGTCTTTCTGGCTTAGTGTTCCGATGTTTGGTATGAGGGACAGTCTCTCATGAATGACATGAGGGAGTATTAGAAACTAAGTATCCCTCGATCTATTCATGAGGGAGGGATGTTAGTGATTAAAAGTCCCTCAAAAACAATGGAAACCGAGGTGATCATGGTATTACAGACCAAATTGATTTGGTCAAGAATTGAGTGAGTTATAGCCATTTCCTGGCCTCATAATAATTAGTCATTCGTTACCTATTTTAATATCATGGCGCTTACAATCTAATCGGACAAGAAAATATGATAAAACGTAATTACAAGGAGTTGATAATGGTACACTTTTATTTAAAGAAAGAGATGCGGTTGGATTTCAAATCCAGATACGTTGAAAGAAAAAACATAGCAGGAACAGAAGAAACTCAGAGACTGAGAATTATAAATCTTCATCCTCTGAGCTTGATTCTTCTTCAAGTGACTCCTGTTAAGATAACAAAACAATGTATATGTTGACTTGCTGTGACCATTTATTATTATTATGTTTTGGGAAGGCACTTTCAATTAGGTAAATACAAAATTTATTCTAAAAATATCCGGTTTTCACATAAACAAATTCAAGTTGGGAAGGGGTCATAGATTAACCCCCCTCCATATAAAGGCTTATAGGCACTTAAAAACGTTAGCCAAGACTACACTCAATTGCAAATTTATTGTCGAAACAGGAAAGCTGAGACCAAAAGGTATGCTGGGAAATGATAATTATCCTCTGATGTATTCATTTGCAATACACAGTCAATGTGTTAACATGTGTTGACAGCCTCCATGCTTTCTGTCAGTACAATAATGTATTAACATTCCAAGTGTTGTATTAGACTATGTCAATAGATACGTACTTCCCATTATACCATTACAGTCTCAGTTTGTATATTATATCTGTTTTGGACACAACAATGATTTTCCAATTGAGTGTAATATTTTTCTTGTAGTGATGCGCTTGTCATAGGTTTAATAAAAACCTGACCTTACTATTCCAAACTTAAATTATTTCCCAGAGCACACTTACTTTAGCAAACTTCTCAGCAGCATCAGCAACATCTTTTGGTACCCATTGATGTTTCCCATCAGTAACTAAAAATAAAGGTACATGTACATGTATGAATATATATCTCTATTGCAATTAAAAACACGCTTGGAGCTATATAGCATGACATAAGCAAGCTTAGGAACACAAGCCGAGTGCTTTTCTTGCTTTTGCGAGTGCTCTACAGCTCCCAGGTCCTCCCAGAGTGCTAATATCACAATAAAGAGACACAAGCAGCCGTTTTATACTGCTTTCATGAGATATTTTTGAACAGTTATTTTGTGCAAGCACGTCTCAGTTGGATAATAAATCACTTATTACGCATTTTAGGGTGGAATACGAGTGGACATTTTTTCTTTTCTTTGCATTTTGTCTCACCCTATCGCAGACTCGAAAAAATATTTCCCCATATTCCACCCTAAAATGTCTATAATAAGATCTATTTATATATTATAACAATGAAAACAATATCATAATCATCATCATCAATTCTCACACCAGAAGGCATATTAAGGCCATTAGGTTTCTGTAACATCTCACATTTCATGGGGTGGGGTCGTAAGCCCTGCACCCAACTCCCAACCTGGAGAAGCTGGGGATTACCCTTTGTCTAGTCTATAACCTTTGATCTGAGTACAAGACTCTGACAGTTGACATATACTTATTTCAATAAAGTTAGTCACCAAAAACCTAGAAGGCTGTGATCGCTTAGAATCATGGGAAATATTTTATATCCAACAAGTAAAGCTTTTGACACAAACTGCAGCAGTTGAGCATGCTCAGAGGAGGTGAACTTGTAACTGGTAGAAGATCTCAAGTCTATCAACAGTTATCAAGCGGTTGAAACATGTAAAATGTATCTACCCATAATCCTTGCCCGTCTCAGCTTTGTAGCTTTTCAGGTGACTAACTTTAGTGAAATAAGTGTATATAGGGACACACAAACTGCCTCAACACAATAAGCTGATGATTCTTAAATAAGAAACAGATAAACTAGTGTATTTAAATAGCATGCAACTTCTAGAGCTAATGAAGTGCAAGTGCAGTACCAGCCTGGCTTCTATCCTTTTATATGGAAAAATTATTTTTCCTATTTTCCTTAACTTGATTTCCAAAATAGACCCTATGCAAAATTCATTTGCATAATTTTCTTAAATCAACTGCATACTTAATTTGGGAATTGTTTTATACCAACTGAAAGATCACTAGTGAATAGTTTGAAAGTTAGAAGTCAAATATCTATATAGAGTTACATGTACGAGCAATAAAATGTGCCAAAAACACGAAAACAAATCTGGCAAGGCCTTTGGCTCTATTACTCATACAAATCCTTCTAATTGATTGAAACTGCTGTTAAATGCTGATATCACAGTGCTTCGGGACTGAAGCAATAATTGAAATTATTTCAAAGCTTTGAAAACACTAGTGAAATTAATCCTTAATTTTACTCGGTGCCATATGGTTTATACCTGTCGCGTTTTAGGACCCAACTTTTGCTGTATTGTTGCCCGTATTGCGATACACCGATACACAACATGCCATAGGGTCATATCTAAGCAATCCAAAATCCAATGTATTCCCCCGATCTCTCAAAGGATCAGCTAATATACACCACACGGCCACACATACAACGATACAGGCGATAAACAACGGCAAAGCTCTACAACGATACAGACGATACAACGATACAGGAGATAAACAACGACGCAGCACTACGGTTATACAACAATACAGACGATACAACATTACAGACAATACAACGATACAGGCGATAAACAACGACAAAGCTCTACAACGATACAACGATACAGACGATATAACGATACAGGCGATAAACAACGACAAAGCTCTACAACGATACAGACGATACAACGATACAGGCGATACAACGATACAGGCGATAAACAACGACACAGCACTACAGACAATACAACAATACAGACGATACAACGATACAGACAATACAGACGATACAACGGTACAGGCGATAAACAACGACACAGTACTACAGCGATACAACGATACAGACGATACAGGCGATAAACAACGGCATAGCACTACGGCGATACAACGATACAGACGATACAACGATACAGGCGATAAACAACGACACAGCACTACAGCGATACAACGATACAGACGATACAACGATACAGGCGATAAACAACGACACAGCACTACAGACGATACAACGATACAGACAATACAACGATACAACGATACAACGATACAGGCGATACAACGATACAGCACTACAGCAATACAACGATACAGACGATACAACGATACAGGAGATAAACAACGACATAGCACTACGGCGATACAACAATACAGACGATACAGGAGATAAACAACGACACAGCACTACTGCGATACAACGATACAGACGATACAGGCGATAAACAACGACACAGCACTACAGACAATACAACGATACAGACGATACAACGATACAGACAATACAACGATACAGACGATACAACGATACAACGATACAGACGATACAACGATACAGACAATACAACGATACAGACAATACAACGATACAGACGATACAACGATACAGACGATACAACGATACAGACGATACAACGATACAGACGATACAACGATACAGACGATACAACGATACAGACGATACAGACAATACAACGATAGAGACGATACAACGATACAGACAATACATCGATACAGACGATACATCGATACAGACGATACAACGATACAGACAATACAACGATACAGACGATACAGACGATACAACGATACAGACAATACAACGATACAGACGATACAGACGATACAACGATACAGACGATACAACGATACAGATAATACAACGATACAGACGATACAACGATACAGACGATACAACAATACAGACGATACAACGATACAGACAATACAACGATACAGACGATACAACGATACAGACGATACAGACGATACAGACGATACAACGATACAGACAATACAACGATACAGACGATACAGCGATACAGAGGAGCAAGGAGCAAGTATACAGCGCTGGCCCTTGGTTATGATTTGAGTGTATACCAACCTAAGTAGTAATCTATATTTATTTACTCGATCCAGACAAAGAGTTTTATTAACGACAGCTTCAATACTGTAAAGAACTGAACTATAGGACTTACATTTATAGACTTTGCATCGACTATGATTTTCGTTAGAAAAGGCATGAAATAAGCTAAATATCGTACTTTCCAAGACGTAGATACTAGAGTAATTGCAACTCGTATGTACAAATCATTCTGAAAAGTTATTGTAAAAAGGCCTATTTTACTTACTCATTATATGAAGTCGCTATGACCCTTCAACTTATCTGGACTGAAAACCTTTCTTGAAAAAGGGTATTTTAATAAAATTAGTCATGGCCCTATTGGCAACTTTTGCAATTGAATTTGGCAGCTTTTGCAGCCTTCACGCTGGCAACAGGAACAGTGTTGCCATTGTTTACAACTGGTGCATTGTACCATTGATTTTTTTTGTTTTTTTTTTTTTTTGGCAAAGATTGCACAGTCTTTGTTATCTGTAACATAAAGAAGAGATTGAATAAACGTTTATTATGAAATAATGATTGAATGAAAAATAGACCTAGATGGATAAAAGAATAAATGAGTGTTTTATTGTTAAAGAATCATGGAATAAAAGACAAAACGGAATGGATGCTGAGATAAACGGGTGGATGGATGTTTTTACTCACCCCACTTTTCGCTATCTATAAGCTTTGCCTTTTTTCTCGCCGGCTCACCGTCCTTAATCTGTACTTGGAATGGTAAGCCTGTCGAAAGAATTTAGCAGCAATCTATTAACCATTAAAGTCATCAGAACATAGTTTGTCTCGAAATCGTTTTCGAGACATTTATTTTGAATATTACTATGTTCTGACGACTCTAATGGTTAAATAGATTGCTGCTAAATTCTTTCGACAGGCTTACCATTCCAAGTACAGATTAAAGTTGCAAATATGCTACATGTTTTTTCCCGAAAAAGGTTAATATCTTTTTCTTTAAATTTGCAATTACTCTAGTATCTACGTCTTGGAAAGTACGATATTTAGCTTATTTCATGTCTTTTCTAACGAAAATCATAGTCGATGCAAAGTCTATAAATGTAAGCTAGGGCCTTTTAGTTCAGTTCTTTAGTATTGAAGCTGTTGTTAATAAATTTCTTTGTCTTGGTTAAGGAAGTAAATGTAGATTATAATCCTTAGCTTTTCAGAATGATTTGTACGTACGAGTTCCAATTACTCTGGTATCTACGTCTTGGAAAGTACATAGCTAGATTACATTATCTGAACAAATTCGAAGTATACAATATCTAGCTTTTTTTAGGTCTTGTCTGACGACGAAAATCAATGCAAAGTGTATAAATGTAAGTCTTATAGTTCAGTTCTTTACAGTATTGAAGCTGTCGTTAATAAAACTCTTTGTCTGGATCGAGTAAATAAATATAGATTACTACTTAGGTTG